TACCTGTCAGAGGAAGTAGTAGATGCAGGTGTAGTTACAACATTTAAAAGACGTTTGGATAGATACATGAATAGGAAATGTTTAGAGGGATATGGACCAAATGCAGGCGAGTGGTTCTAGCTTAGTTTGGGAAACTTACTAGTTATGGACGAGTTGGGCTGAAGGGTCTGTTTCTGTGGTGTACAGCTATGATTCTACCACTTCTGGCAGCTTATTCCATATACACACCACCATCTGTGTGCAAAAGTTATCCCTCAGGTCCCTTTTTAAATCTGTCCCCTCTCACCTTAAACCTATGCCCTCTAGTTGTGGACTCCCCTACCCTGTGGAAAAGACCTTGGCTATTCACCTCATCCATAACCCTCATGATTTTATAAACGACTATAAGTTCACTCACTCAGCCTCCTACAATCCAGGGGGAAAAAAATACTCAAATCTTTCAGTCTCAGTAACATCCTTGTAAATAATCTTGCACTGTTTCCAATTTAATAACATCCTTTAGCAGGGTGACCAGAATTGTGCACAGTACTCCAAATGTGGCCTTATCAATGTCTTGTGTAGCTGAAACATGGCAACCAACCCTGTACTAAATGCTCTGACCGCTGAGGAAGTGGAGGGAAGGGGAGAATGCACGCAGGTGACAGAGGAGATGTAGAGTGGGTGGGAGAGGAAGGGGTGGAGGAAGGTGGAAAGGCAGGGGAGGGAAAAGGGGTTTAAGTGAAGGAGAGGGAGAGAGAGAGATTCCATCCATGAGCAGCAGGTAGGTGTGAGTTGGGGGTGTGCTTGAAGGTGGGAAGGGAGGAGGCCTCTCATGGCCTCCAAGTACTGAACCTACTGCTGAAAGTGGCCTATGATGTTTAAGGGTACTTTGGGCTTGCCATCTACCCTGTGTGTTTCAGCAGCATCAGTACAGTGGATCCAGAGTGGCCTTACCAGATCCTCGAGAATGTGCAGTCTCCTCTGCAGTCACCATTGCTGCTTGAGAGGATGGGCAACTTGCAAACCCATCTTGGGTTGTGACCCAGAGTTTGGGGAACCCCTGATGTAACAATTTGAACCTGAAAGTGGTAAGAGTTTGTACCTATTTAATAATTTTCTCTTTTAGGTGTCCAATCTAATTCCCTGTCTTATTACTGCACTGGCGTCTATTGTTCAAATGCTTGTATTGCACAAATTGCCGATTGGAATACAAATTTCTGTTCCTGTTGGTGTGCATAACAAATTTGGTTTCTTGTTATCCTCTTGGCATTAAAAGCTAAAATATAAAATTCCACATTGTTACCTGAATAGCTTTATAAGATGTATAACTGAAGTACACCAGATACACTGATGATCAATATTTTGTGAACCTGTGAATTCTGTCATGACTTCACTGAATATTGCACCAACCTTACCAATTCTTTTGCTTACAGATAGATCTTTTAAAATTTCCTTCAGATGAAGACCATTGGAGGTAAGCAGTGCTGCGATTAATACATAATTTCCACACATTTTAATGTTAAGAGCTTTTTATTGTATTGGAGCTAATTTAGTATAATACACAAGTGCAATATTAGGCTGAAACCAAAGGCATTTCATTGCCTAGTGTGCATTCTGTTGTTAAACCTAAGTGAAAATTTCTAGTTATAATAAATATTTAAAAATGTTTCAGGTATCCGTAAGAATAATAGGGTTGTAACGGTAGGGTAATTTTAACTTTCCAAACATAGACTGGGACTGCCATAGTGCTAAGGGCTTGGATGGAGAGGAATTTAAGAGTGTACAAAATTTTCTTATTCAGTATGTAGATGTACCTGCTAGAGAAGGAGCAAATCTTGACCTCTTGGGAAATAAGGCAGGGCAAGTGACTGAGGTGTCAGTGGGGGTGCACTTTGGGGCCAGTGGTCATAATTCTACCAGTTTTAAAATAGTTATGGAAGATCGACCCGATCTAAGAACTAAAGTTCTAACTTGGAGTAAGGGCAATTTTGATGGTATTAGGCAAGAACGTTCAAAAATTGATCGGGAGGGGCATTGTGGGTAAAGGGACAGTTAGAAAGTGGGAGACCTTTAAAAATGAGATAATGAGAGTTCAAAGACAACTTGTTCCTATTAGTGTGACGGACAAGGCTGGTAGGTGTAGGAATGCTGGATGACTAGGAAAATTGAGGCTCTGGTTAAGAAAAAGGAGGCAATCAGGAAGGTAAAAAGGGGACAAGAGATATCTTTGGCAAATAGGGTTAAGGAAAATCCAATGAGATTCTACACATACATCAAGGGAAAAGAGTAACTAGGGCGAGAATAAGGAACCTTAAAGATCAACAAGTCTTTGTGCGGAACTAGAGGAGATGGGTGAGATACTAAACAAGTATTTCACGTCACTATTTACTGTGGAGAAGGATATGGAAGCTAGAGAACTTGGGGAAATAAATAGTGACATATTGAAAAATGTCCATATTACAGAGGTGGTGCTGCTGGACAGCTTAAAACGCTTGAAGGTGGATAAAACCCCAGGACTTAATCAGGTGTATCGCAGAATTTGAGAAAACAGAGGAAGGGTCACCGGACCTGAAACGTTAACTCTGTTTTCTCCTTCACAGATGCTGCCAGACCTGCTGAGCTTTTTCAGCAACTTTGTTTTTGTTCCTGATATACAGCATCCGTAGTTCTTTTGGTTTTTATTTAGTATCCCAGAACTTTATGGAAAGCCAGGGAAGAGATTGCTGGGTTCCTTGCTGAGATATTTATATCATCAACAGCCACAGGTGAGGTGCCAGAAGACTGGAGGTTGGCTATTATGGTGCCATTATTTAAGAAAGGTGACAAGGAAAAGCCAGGGAACTATAGATAGGTGAGCCTGATGTCAATGGTGGGTTATGTTGTTGGAGTGGATTCTGAGGGTCAGGACTTACATTTGGAAAGGCAAGGACTGATTAGGGATAGTCACATGGCTTTGAGTGGGAAATCATATCTCACTAGATTGAGTTTTTTTAAAGAGGTGACAAAGAAGAGCAGTACGCATCTATATGGACTTCAGCAAGGCGTTCAACAAGGTTCCACACGCTAGACTAGTTAGCAAGATTAGATCAAGTGGAATCCCGCAGGAGCTAGCCAATTGGCTACAAAATTTGCTTGAAGACAGGAGACAGGACGCTAGTGGGGGTTTGTTTTTCAGTCAGGAGGCCTGTGACCGGTAGTGTGCTGCAAGGATTGGTGCTGGGTCCACTGGTTTTGGCATTTATATAAATGATTTGGATGTGAATGAGAGGTATGGTTAGTAAGTTTGCAGATGATGCCAAAATTGGTGCAGTGGACAGTGAAGAAGGTTATCTGAGTACAATGGGATCTTGATCAGTTGGGCCAATGGGTTGAGTGGCAGATGGAGTTTAATTTAGGTAAATGTGAGGTGTTGCATTTTGGTAAGGCAAATTAGGGCAGGACTTGCGCAGTTAATTGTAGACCCTGGGGAGCGTTGCTGAATAACACCTCGTGGTGCAGGTGCATATTCTTTGAAAGTGGAGTCACAGGTAGATAGCGTGGTGAAAAAGGTGTTTGACATGTTTGCCTTTATCGGTGAGTGAACTGAGTGTAGGAGTTGGGATGTCATGTTGCGCCTGTATAGGACATTGGTTAGGCCACTTTCAGAATACTGTGTTCAATTCTGGACTCCCTGCTGCAGGAAAGGTGCTGTGAAACTCAAAAGGGTTCAGAAAGGATTTACAAGGATGTTGCCAGGGTTAGAGGGATTGAGGTTTCGGGAGAGGCTGAATAGGCTGGGGCTATTTTCCCCCTGGGACGTCAGAGGCTGAGGGGTGATTTTCTAGAAGTTTATAAAACCATAAGGAGCATGGATAGGGTGAATACCCAAGATCTTTTTCCTAGTGTTGGGGAGTCCAAAACTAGTGGGCATATGTTTAAGGTGAGAGGGGCATGATTTAAAAAAGGACCTGAGGGGTAACTTTTTCATGCAGAGGGTGGTGCGTGTATGGAATGAGCTGCCAGAGGAAGTGGTGGAGATAGGTACAGTTACAACATTTAAAAGACATCTGGATAGGTATATGAATAGGAAGGGTTTAGAGGGATATGGGCCGAAGGCTGGCAAATGGGAATAGATCAGTTTCGGATTTCCAGTCAGCATAGACAAGTTGGACAAAAAGGGTCTGTTTCAGTGCTGTATAATTCTGACTCAGTGATCAATTTTTGACCAGTTCAAGCTTTTAAAGTGTTCTTTCCCTAACCTTGTTTTTTTTCTAATCCAAGGTATTCTGATACTCTTGATTTGAAAATGTTTTTACAAATTCAGTATTGATTTTCAGTGCTTCTGTTATTCAAAGATGATGCTAGTAATTTAGTGTTTCTTTTTTGTCTGGGTGCATGTTCTTGCCAGGAAGATTCATTAGTGTTTTAGTGGTTTGTCAGTCAGCTTGCTCTCTTTTCATCTTGCTAAACCGTTTCTGTTGGGCTGTCTTGCTCGTTCGCTCAGTTGCCGCCTCCGTCTTCGTATTTGACTCCACTAGGCCGATTGTCATCCAATTACCTGTTTCCTCACCTATCATCTCCCTTATGGAAAAATTTGCAAGGGCAGCACGGTGGCTCAGCAGTTAGCACTGCTGCCTCACAGCGCCAGGGACCCAGGTTCAATTCCACCCTCAGGCAACTGTCTGTGCGGAGTTTGCATATTTTCCCCATGTCTGTGTGGGTTTCCGCTGGGTGCTCAGGTTTTCCCTCTCAGTCCAAAGATGTGCACGTTTGGTGGATTGGCCATACTGTTCAGGAATGTGTGGGTACACTAGCCGTGGAAAATGTAGGGTTAAGGGAAAAAGATAGTGGCATGGGTCTGGGTGGAGTGCTCTTCAGAGGATCGGTGTGGACTTGTTGCGCCAAATGGCCTGTTTCCACACTGTAGGGATTCTATAATTCTATGAAATATATAATCAAAAATGACGACAGGATACATTTATGTTAGGTTTAAATTTGCCAGTGGCATCATGTTGAAAAAAATAAAACTTTCAGAATAATTCATTCTTTCCTATGCTCTGTATGGGCATCAAGTTATCAATTGCTGCGTTGTATTTCTGTATTTTTCACCTGCCTGGCCTGCCATCTTCCACCCTCTAAATTGCTGCTATCCATTTTCTAGCTTGCATCAAGTCCTATCCACCTTTCACCCTGGATTAATTAAACTACATTGACTCAAAATTCCTTGATTTTTGATGTTCTTATTTTTGTTTTCGGATCACTTCATACTGTCCCTTCAGGTCTCTAATCTTGTGCAGCCTCTGAATTTTCTTTGATATCTGCTACCCTCCAATTCTGGCTTCTTGCATATTATGATTTTAATTGCTCGATGACTGGTGTCCATGCCTTCAGCTGCTGAGGCTCTAAGGCTCCATACCTAAACTGCTGTCCTCTCTCCACATCTATCTGTGACTCTTAATATAACATACGAATCAAATTTTTGATCATTTGCCTTACTATTTGTTGAGTTTTATGATTCTAAGTCACTTAAGGTCAGATTTTGTTTGGTAACATCCCTGTGAAATGCCTTGGGGTCTTTTACTCTGTTAAAGTTATGTAATAGTAAGTTGTTATTATTGTATCTTGCTGTTAGAAAATGTTAGAGGTAAAATAGTGTTTGGCCATATTGAGCAAGTGTCATAAAAGTTGGTGAAGTACAGAACCACAGTACTGTGAACAGTTAGCTAAAGTGAGAAATTGGAACAGTTTTCCTATGAGGCTAGTGTTAATGGACATTGTTGAGCTACAATAGAGGAAACGTATTATACCTAGTATGTACTATACTCAATGTGTGAGAGCTTGATGCTCACTCTTAGTACAAAAACAAAAGAATTAATTCCCAGTTAGAATTCCTCATCTTGAACACCAAGTAAGAAGTTAGTAAAAGTTCCAGTACTGTCAAATAATAAGATTGCGAGACAAATTCTTTTGTTTTCAGGTTTTTTAAATTCTTGGAAGTTTTAAGTTTACTTGAGGAAAGTTATCCTGCTGAAAATAGAGACATTAATCCAGGTATTGTAAATAATCATTAGGAATTATTTCTGTTTTTGTTGGTGTCAGGTAACCAATTGGATACACTCTGCTTTATGTAGTGAAAGATCATCTTTTTTATACGGAAAGCATTGCAGTAATGTTGGTAGAATTTTTTTAGCAATCATTGGAAAGATATTGTTCAAGAAAAGTGTGTAGGAGAGGCTGCATTGGGAATAAACATGAATAATTTTATGGGCAGTTTTGAGGTAAATATGAAAATTTTGTAGAAATCACAGTAAATCAATTTTTTTGTAGTCTGAGGCCTTCTGTGAAATATTACCGAATTAATTTCAAATGTTCAGCTATTTTTCTTAAGGAATATGCGATTCAATATCAACATTTTTTGCAACCTTCATTTGTAGACTGCATAATGCCAAGGTACATGCAAAACACCGTGGACATGAAGCTATGCATGCAGAAATGGTGCTTATTCTTATTGCCACCCTCGTAATAGCTCAGATTGTGCTAGTCCAGTGGAAGCAACATCATTGTAGATCATATAATGTGAGTTTTATTTTCAACCTTATGGCTTCAAATTTTAAAACTGTTTATACACAAGCGTAAACCAATTGTTTCGCCCAGTTTTTAGCAGTCTTGTTGCTCAGACCAGCAGAAGGTACCATACAAAATTTGGGGTGAGGCAGATTTGTTTAGCCAGAGCTTTGTCCTGTGCTCCACCTGACCTAGAATTGATAAATGTTGTGTAATGATACCCAGCTTTGTCATCTTCACTAAAAGTTAAAACAAAATATAAGTCTGTGTAAATAAACAATATTATCTTAACAGTTCTAGCTACTTGATTTAAATAAAGCTTGTAAGATCATTGGGTATTTTTAATTTCAGTTTGTTCTCCTCTTAGTCAACATTTTAACATGTACAATCAAAAGGAACAGCAAATTACCCTGTGACTTATGACCAAAAATTACTAAATGTGCTTAATTCTTCTTGAGTTAATCATTTTTAATGAGTTATGCCAATACACGCTGTTAATTCTACACAAACCAGAGTTGTGTGAAGGTTTAAAAATAAATTTGTACATTTCCTGCAACAATGTGTAAGGCAGATATGACCACGTATGCACTGATTTTTGTTTTTAATAGGTCATATTTCTGTGCAAACTAAACATTCACCAAAAGTTTCTTCTATCTTTCTTCTTTGTTGCTTTTTAATTGCAAGTACAAATATCTAAAAACAATAATCTGGTAACAAGAAATTTTAACACTGATCCTGTTCAAGTCTGCCTACAGATGTCAGGTGGCTGTAGACAAGTTAGGAAAATGTACCTGCTCCCAAACTAAGTTTGAACTTAACAGATGACTTGATCTGAATTGGATCTTTATGTTTCATTGTTACTAATGGTTTTAATAAGAACAGCTTGTTCATATTCTGGGAATTTTGATTAGGTTTGTGCAGCTGTGATGCAGACAAACCTGTAATCATAATAGTGTGAAACAAGGATCTTTATTTGAATGCAGTTTGGTACTCGGATTTCAGTTAGTGTAACAGATCTAATGTTTGTTGCTATCATGAAGTTAATGGATAGTTGATTTTAGTTGTTATGATGCAGTATCTGCTGATACAGCATTGCTTTTCACAATCACATGCATTGTCCATTTTTAAAACACCTTTTGTTTTAACAAGTAATTTCAATTAACATTTGCAAAAAGCAATTCTCAATCTTGTTTTGAAATAATGGTAATGAAAGGAACAGGCTTGCTTATTGGAAAGGAAATTGGGAGAGAATGCCATCTTATTCTCAAACCTTTCTGGATCATAATAATTGCTGCCATTTAACATAAGAATTATTGCAAAGCGGTACAGTAATAAAATTGTGTGGCCCATGGCAAAATGTAACCTGGCATATTGCAGACTTCACTCTTGGGCATTGTAATTGTAAAACAAACATTTGAGTGTTCCTTGATTTGTTTTTAAAATTGTGAACTCTGTTTAAACAAAAATTAAGTGGCAGAAAAATCTGAAAACGTTTTTATATGTGGTGTTTTGATTATCCCTGCTTGATAAGTTTGTGTGGGTTGATGCAGAATGAGCTGTCAATGGTAGAAAAGAAAACTAATTTTCTCCTCCTTAACCATTGGCTTACCAATCATTCACCACAATGAATATTTATAAACTTAACGTAAAGCAATTAAAAATGTGAATTGCAACTCTGTACACTAGCCAAACTGTAAATTCAGTCAACTTTATGAACTTCATTTGCAAGACAAGCCAGACTAAAAATCAGTAGTGATAAATTAAATGTCCTGCTGCCTTCTAATTATTTAGACCCCCACATTAGGATTTGTTTGAGGTCCAGGTCCTGGTTAGCTCATTTAAGCCTTTTAATGAGAAAAACATTTAGCCTTTGGGCAATAGTCTGATTTGTCAGGAAATTCCATGGGATATGATGTATGGATAAGTAAAATTTGTGCTAATATAATCCAGATGGTAATGGTGCCATTAAACAATAAAGTAGACGATGTGTTTTTCTATATCCAGATGTTGACTGTAGCAGCACTGGTACTATTAAGCACAGATGCACAACTGTCTTGTTTTATCGATTGACTACTGAATTTTGCACAGTCCAGCGGATAGCATATCCATAACACATTAATTGTTCTAGAAATACATATTAACACTTTTTCTGAATTCTAGAGCATTGAATAAGTTAATGTATTCCATCATGCAGTTGAAATACATTGATAGCCTAATTCACTTCCCCAGTGAAACAATCGTGGGAATTTTGAAAGTTTCCTGAATAAGAATCTCTATATCTTGATCAAAATAGTGTAAGTGCTTTTAATTTCAGAAGTTGTTTATTTATTCTTCCAATTAAGGTTTTTTTGGAAATAGATCAATTCCTACATTAGAGTTGTGAGGCTACAATTAATTCACTAGACTACATCACCATTTGATTCATATATTGCTCTAAACTGATTGACTACAATCTACTAAATGCTTTTGCTGATTAAGATGAACACAAAAGCCAATGTCCAAAAATTAGTTTTTCTGTTCATTAAATAACTTTTTTTATCCAAACCAAAGTACAAACATATTTACATTACAAAAATATCAGCATTGCTGTATAATGTAGAAATACTTTTAGTATTTCAATAAAATTTGATGATTTACTATCTACATTAATCAATGAGCCAAGTAAGGAACATTTTTAAACTGTAGTTGTAATGTAGTAGTACATTATACCAGCAAGCCGTCCATGTGGTTATTGAGATTTGATTAGTAGATTTTTAAGTAATTTTATTGTTTAAGACTTGAAATTCCTGATTATCTTCATCACGAGGTGCAAATTCTAATTATCACATGGTTTTACAACAAATTCATGCCAGGGTAAAACTTGGTCAAGCTATGAAAGCAAACTGGATATACTAACCGTGTTTAATAAATGTTCATAAAGGACTTGTGCATTTTCTTTGACAGCTGGTCACCTTGCTGCAGATGTGGCTTGTTCCTTTATATTTCACAGTAAAACTTTATTGGTGGCGCTTTCTCTCCACATGGGGAATGTTCTCTGTTGTAACCAGTTATGTCATCTTCAGAGCTACCCGCAAACCCCTTTCTGGAAGAACACCACGGTATGTACTCAAAAGTGAAAATTAGAGTTTTTCTCAGCATTGATTTCTTCTACCTTTATAAGTTATGTGACCAAATAATGAGCAGTTTATATTTAACATTTATATCAGTTATACAGGTAGATGCAGTTTTATTGCACATCTAGAGCATTTTTCAATCCCCCACAATTGAAAAGAAACAAGAGTAGGCCATTCAGTCCTTTGAGCCTGCTGTATCAATCATTAAGATTATGGCTGGTCTGATTTCTAACCTCAAGTCTATGTTCCTGCATACTCTAGATAATCTTTCACCCCAGTGATCTGCATATTGTTAACACAAAGCTTTGTTGAAAAAGTCTTTAATTTTATGTGTATATATATATTTTTAAAATTCTTCTTTACGATGGTTTAACCATAGAAGTAGTACGAAGAATACAATCATTAGTGTTTGCAAGGTACCATTCTTGAAGTCAACATTACCATTTCAGAATCTAGCCTGCAATTCTTGTTTAATCTGGTTTTGTTGTAAACATATGCAACTATGTTTTTAGAGCTGCATTCTCTACCTCACTTTTAGCTTTTAGTAAAGTATTCAGATTTTGTTCAAAAAGAATTATAACAGTTCCAATAACTTATATAATGACCCTTAACAGTTTGAATCTAGTTGCATCTTTTAGTCATGGCTTATTCCTCCTTTAGCGTCTTGATGTAAACAGAACCTTGGGTTACATTTGTTCAATCAGTTGATTAATGTCTTTGTGCATCACAATTTTCTAATATACATTATTGAAAACCTGCCACCATAACCTGACATAGCATTGTATTTAGAATGTAAGTAATTCTTTGTGTGTGCAATACATATTTTGAAATGCTGGTCAGTGAGTCAGAGGGTATGTAGCTAGAAGCATATGGGACTTTTATGTTGTGAAGGCATGAATATCTAGGCACTGATTCACTTTGACCAAAAAAGTCATTCAGTTTTCTCATTTATTTGACCTCCACTGATGGCTTTTTTTTAAGCATAGAAATGAAAAAAAGTGAACAAGTGGTCTATGAAGCGCTTCTAATCTACTGACCATTCAATAAGATCATGGCTGATCTTTGGCCTCATTAAAAGCTTTTCTGAAAGAATGGCAAGCCGCTGGCCACAGTGCAAGCAATTTGTTCATTTAAGTGCAAAGAATAGCTATCAGGGAAGATTTTGTATTTTTTTTAAGAGTCTACAATTTCAGAAATTGTTTATATTTTCTTCCAATTAATGCAATCAGTTTTTAAATAGACCAAGTGCTATATGAGATGTTATGCTACCATTAACTCCATTAATGACACCAACAGAATTTGATTCATATTTAGTTATGATCTGGTGGTGAAAAGTGCTGCAATTTTATGAAATGCTTTTACTGATTTAGGTGGATATTCAATGTCCCCTGTCCTAAAAAGTACTAGTTTTTCTGGTGTTTATCAAATCACTTTTTTTGTATGAACAGACATTCAGAAGTACAAGTGTTAACTGTGTCAAAATAAATTAACATTGCTGTAATATTGAAATGCTTTTTTTCCCCAGCAGGATGATTCTTTTATTTCCTAAATTTGTTAGCCAATAAATCATTAAGATCCAACTGTTTTTGGTTGAGACCTTTAGCGTTGTTGAGACTGAATGTAAATGCCAGCTGAAGATGATATTGGCAAAAGTAGCAGTAAAATAATCTTCTCTCAGCTATTTCTTTGGTGATTGAGAAAGTACACCTGTTTGAGAATCTGTTTATTTTTAGTATTATGATCCCACCTGATAGTATTATTAGACAGGTCAGATCCCAGAATTGAAATCTGGCCTGATCGATCATGTTTTTACTTAGTGATACACATTTACTGAATAAGACTATAAAGTTTACAACAGAACAAAAATTTGTTATACACAGGCAAAAACAGGGGGGAAAGAAAGGTTTGAGGCATAGCACACATTTAGATAAAAGTCTTAAAAATGTAGCAGTCTATTTTCTAACTCCAACACTCTACAGTGATTCAAATCCATAGATTATTCCTCAATATCAAATCTTTAAGTTCAATTTAGATTCTTCTCAGTTCTCTCCTGTGAATTGTGAAGTCCAGTGACATGAATACTCTCAATACTGAGAGCTTAGACTTTCTCAGCTTTAAATAATCAGCAAATTTCTAACTCCTGGTCTAGAAGTTGCACAAACTAAACTTTTCTCCTGACGTAACTGTGCCAGCATGTGTGCAGGAAGTATCTCCAACTGCAGCTCTTGGAACCTGTCTTTGAGAGCGGGAGTGGTGGCTGGAGCATCTGTGAAGCTGGAAGTATTGTGGATAACATATACAGAATAGTAGAAGTGGTAATACCACAGGCTAAGACTCCACAGTGAGAAAGATTTGGGCACCAACCAGATAGAGTAAGAGGATGAAGAGGACAGTGCAGGAACCCTCACGCCCATTCCTTTGCAAAACAGAATACTACTTTGGATACTGCAGGGGAGGGGAAATGGTCTCCCAGGGGAAACCAGAGACATCCAAATTCTTTACACAACGACTAGCTTTGCTGCACAGGAGAGGGGGAGAAAGTGTGGGAATGCAATAGTCTTGCTTTTCAATTGTAAGGATAATAGCTAGATGTTTCTGCAGCTGCAAACAAGACTCCAGGACGATATGTTGCTGCTCTGGTGCTGGGGTCAAGGACATTCTGGAGGGAGAGGGTGAACAGCCAGTGGTCATGGTACTTGTTGATACCAATGACAATAGGTTTATTAAAAAAAAAACTGGTCCTAAAAACTAGGCATAGAGAGTTAGAAGTCAGTTGAAAAGTAGGATCTCAAAGGTAGTGATCTCAGGATTAGTGCCAATTCCCATGTGCTCATCAGTTGAAATAGGCTATCAGTTGACTGTGTGGCTGGAAGGATTGTGCAAGATGTGGGGTGAGGGTTTCAGATTCCTGGGATATTGCAACTGGTTCTGGTGGAGGTAGGTCCAGTACAAACTGGATGGGTTACATCCAGGCAGGAGCAGGGCTGATGTCCTAGGGTGCATATTTGCTAATGTGGTTGGAGTGAGTTAAAACTAGAATGGACGGGAACCTCAGCAGAGTGACAAGGGAAAGAGAAACAAGGACATTTATAAAAGAAAGGCAGTAAAATGCAAAAAGAAGACAGGTAATCAAGGACGAGGCAAATAAGGCCACAGTACAAATAAAATTTAAGTTGATTAAAAATTCACACAATTATACAGTGTGCAAGAGGCCCATTGAGTCTGCATCAAAAATAACTTGTCTAAATCTTTAATAAGGTGTAGAGCTGGATGAACACAGCAGGCCAAGCAGCTTCATAGGAGCAGGAAGGCTGACGTTTTGGGCCTAGACCCTTCGTCAGAAATGGGGGAGGAGAAGGGGGTTCTGAAATAAATAGGGAGAGAGGGGGAGGCGGATAGAAGATGGATAGAGGAGAAGATAGGTGGAGAAGAAACAGACAGGTCAAAGAGGCGGGGATGGAGCCAGTAAAGGTGAGTGTAGGTGGGGAGTTAGGGAGGAGATAGATCAGTCCAGGGAGGACGGACAGGTCAAGGGGGCGGGATGAGTTTAGTAGGTAGGAGATGGGAGTGGGGCTTGAGGTGGGAGGAGGGGATAGGTGGGAGGAAGAACAGGTTAGGGAGGCGGGGACGAGCTGGGCTGGTTTTGGGATGCGGTAGGGGGAGGGGAGATTTTGAAGCTTGTGAAATCCACATTGATACCATTGGGCTGCAAGGTTCCCAAGCGGAATATGAGTTGCTGTTCCTGCAACCTTCGGGTGGCATCATTGTGGCACTGCAGGAGGCCCAGGATGGACATTTCGTCTGAGGAATGGGAGGGGGAGTTGAAATGGTTCGCGACTGGGAGGTGCAGTTGTTTATTGCGAACCGAGTGTAGTGTTCTGCAAAGCGGTCCCCGAGCCTCCGCTTGGTTTCCCCGATGTAGAGGAGGCCACAACGGGAACAGCGGATGCAGTATACCACATTGGCAGATGTGCAGGTGAACATCTGCTTGATGTGGAAAGTCTTCTTGGGGCCTGGGATGGGGGTGAGGGAGGAGCTGTGGGGGCAGGTGTAGCACTTCCTGCAGTTGCAGGGAAAAGTGCCAGGTGTGGTGGGGCTGGAGGGGAGTGTGGAGCGGACAAGGGAGTCATGGAGAGAGTGGTCCCTCCGGAAAGTAGATAAGGGTGGGGAGGGAAAAATGTCTTTGGTGGTGGGGTCGGATTGCAGATGGCGGAAGAGCCGGAGGATGATGCGTTGGATCTGGAGGTTGGTTGGGTGGTACATGAGGATGAGGGGGATTCTTTTTTGGTTGTTATTACGGGGACAGGGTGTGAGGGATGAGTTGCGGGAAATGCGGGAGACACTGTGGAGGGCATTCTGGACCACTGAGGGGGGGAAGTTGCGGTCCTTGAAAAACGAGGACATCTGAGATGTATGGGAGTGGAATGCCTCATCCTGGAAGCAGATGCGGCGGAGGCGAAGGAATTGGGAGTAGGGGATGGCATTTTTGCAGGAAGGTGGGTGGGAGGAGGTGTATTCTAGGTAGCTGTGGGAGTCGGTAGGCTTGAAATGGATATCGGTTTCTAGGTGGTTGCCCGAGATGGAGACAGAGGTATTAGAGATGGTCCAGGTGAACTTAAGGTTGGGGTGGAAGGTGTTGGTGAAGTGGATGAACTGTTCGAGCTCCTCGTGGGAGCACGAGGTGGTGCCGATACAGTCATCAATGTAACAGAGGAAGAGGTGGGGTTTAGGGCCAGTGTAGGTACGGAAGAGGGATTGTTCCACGTAACCTACAAAGAGGCAGTCTGGAGGGAGGAGGGTAACTTCTTCAGGCTAGGCATCCTTAGAAGAGGCTTCGCACCGGAGGGAGGAGGGTAACTTCTCTTCTCCACCTATCTTCTCCTCTATCCATCTTCTATCCGCCTCCCCCTCTCTCCCTATTTATTTCAGAACCCCCTTCCCCTCCCCCATTTCTGATGAAGGGTCTAGGTCCGAAACATCAGCCT